ATATGAGGTGTATTCATACTATTTCGTTTAAGGTGATAAAGGAAGTTTGTTGACCTCGTTGTCGCAACTTTGTCTTGTTGTGAGGGGGACTACGTAGAACGCACCTAGTCCGAAGTCGTCTACCATAATAGTTGTCATGATTCCCAGCATCTGACAGTGAACTTGATACATTCTCAAACGTTTCGCCATTCTCCGCACCACCATGGTCATCACATCTACAATCTTTCATACCTAGATTCTATCATTCTCAATGAACTTAAACCACTAATAAATAATATTATACTTTTAAAATAGCTATAATGGCACACTTCTCGTAAAATATCTGCTTAATTTTAATAATTAAAAGTGATTATATGAAGAGTAGGTTTGGAAGGCAAACGCCCAAATTTATAAAAATTAAAAATAAACATAATCGGACAGATACGTCAAATAATTCTATTTTCGAATTTTAAAATTTGAAATCAGCCAAAGCGTGAGGAAGAATACCTGAACCCCTAAAAGATAGTTTGGCACGCGTTCTCTATCGAGTTTGCCACTGAGTCTAACGGCCCCAGTAGCCGGATCGATGGCGAAAGGATGAAAAACTTTAAGTTTGCCTCCGATAACTGCCTGACTCCCTGGAATCTCTGTTGTCCAACTGCCCGCATGAATAAATGTGTCGCTAACATTCGATCGTAAGTCAACTCGATGGTCAAGCCCGGACCCAGTCAAGACCAAATCATTGGGCCAAAGTCTGGGTACCGATTCGAGTAGCCGATAGACAAGTTGGCCATTCCTTCCAAAGTCGTCATCCCTGGCTCGGACAACAAGAGGACGAATGCAAGAGGAGTTCAGATGGTTCATTTGGTTTTGGCCAAGTTCATGAATTCCAAGAGATATTGAAGACGGGGGTAAATAGGTTTGTTCAAAAAGGACACTGTCGACAGGTTGGTCCTCGGGGATAGAAACGTAGACATCAAGAGGAGAGAGTAGATGTGGCGGGTTATCATTCTCGTCTTCAACACGAACCTGCCACCATGTTCGCAAAAAGGTGATGGATGGATTTAAAAAATATATATAGTAAATGGAGGGCCTTGAAAATTAATTTAAAAGTATCATGTATAGTATAAAAAAATAAATAAGCATAAGATACAAAATTTGTGCCAACTTGAAGGTCACTTTAGATAATATGCCAAATGTTGTAAAATCCCTTACTTTTGCATGCTCTCTAAATACATAATACCCGAATCACAGTTATTTTAGTTAAATGCATTAAGGCTTATAAAAGCATCTCAGTTAGTACCCTTGAGTACTAGTTTGCTACTTGTCTAAATAAATTCTTTATATAAGGCGTCAATTAGCAAAACAAACTTCATACTAGCTTTATACTACCTTATTATTTATTTTTATTTATTTATTTATTTTATTTAAACCTTATTTTAATTTTTAGAAGTTCATTTATTCGTATTTACCACGCAACCTTAACAATGATTTTGACTGCAATAAATTTCAAACGGGACCACCACAGTCAATTGGTGGTCACTTCATTTAGCTAGTCTACACAGACAGGCTTCTAATAAACTATTCAGTCCATCAACTGGCTCGTTCGCAATAGATAGAGAAGAGGTTTCTCATTATTAAGTTCATGTAAAGCTCATTTAGCTAGTACTCTCTACGAGAAAGCCTTCCTCGAGAAGGAGTCGTCAAAAATAATATAGAGTAAGTAAACAGAAAAACATAAGATAATGGAAAAAAGATCTCAATAGAATCACTATATATTTGTCATCACCCTTCAAGCCCAGTAGAATGTATGCTATTCCCCTATCATACTAATCATTTTATTAATGTCTTATTTGTTGTCCCATCAAATGTAATGGTCTAATGATAGGCTGTCCCAAAACTATGGCACTCCCAAATCTTAGCAGCAAATCTTTGGAATCTATAAGCATTAAAATGTTGACTTTCTACAACATAATTTCCTCTTTAAATGATACTCAAATCCGCTTAGTTAATTTAAACGTAAGATAAAATAATTTTGATTTGATTTCGTTTTGGTAGCCTGATGGGAGAGACAGGGGGGCCTTATTGGACATGCCTAGTCCTGCGTCTCTGTCAAAGTAATCATGATAGTTTCCAGCATCAGAACGTTGATTTGGCATATTCCCAGATAATTCGATGCCATCCTAGTCGACATCGTCAGTGAGAGACGCATTCTTATTAAAGAGTTACAACTTAGAGTGACAGTTAAGGGCAATCCCAAAGACCAATTTTCTGTTCGGCCGTTGTGACATCTGTCCCCATCTTGTCCTAGCCTCTGGCGCTGCATCCCGAAGCAGATCCCTACTTCATAAAACCCATTTACCTATTCACATCATTCTTTATCTTCATATGCTCCAGTCTTCTTTTAGAGCATGTTGCTTAGAGGTAATAATCAAATGTTTTGCTTCCAGGAAGTCAGAGTGGGAAAAAAGAACGAATTGATGTAAGAAGATGCAATTATAGAAGGGAGCAAATTTCAAGCTTAAGTCAAACGTAGAAACATTTCAGTGGTGTCTTAACTAGGTATAGACAAACTTGGTTAAGAGCAAGTTGCCCTACAAAGGCAACGGAAATGTCGAATTTCTAAGATGAAAGGATAAGATGGCGGGTTTGTATTGAAGGGAGATAACTTCGATACGTGATGATAAGGTCAACTGTTGGAGTATTCTGAATTCCTAGCAAAAAGATAACTAGGTTATGTGCAAAAATCGAATAAGAAAAGTGATTGGTAAAGTGCTTGAAGAATTGTAATAAGAAAAAAGTGCTAGTACATTATGAAGAAATACTGGACATATAAGAATTCGTTAGTAATATATTGCGATATGACCTTACATTTCGAAGAAAAAGTTGGTTAGAAGGAATTCGTGATGTGGTCTCACCAAAAACCGGAAGATTGCCCCGCATAGAAGACATAGAAGACTGTGCAAAGAAGTCCTACGCACATCAACCTGCAACCTCAATAAGCCTGTGCTAAGCTTTCGTCTGTACTGAAAGATATCAGAGCAAGAATCCATACTCTACGAAATACAGCAAAAATATACAAGCCAAGAGAAAAGGTCTCCAGCAGCAACCGGCCGCTTTTTTTATACACCTA